TCACAGTGGTCTGGTTCTTTCAGTATCTCTAGGTGAACATCATCTAGTTGATATGTTTGCAATACAACCAAGACTTATATTACAAGTCTCCATTTTATCTTGGCTTTATTTAGCCTGAAAAAAATGTTTTGTTAGCAATGTAAGTAGGCATTAATCATCTAGATTCACAATGCCCTAAGAGTCATAGGATTTTAAAGAATTTAGGAAGTTAYGTCTAGAGGAAAAGAAGTATGAGGAGCAAAGGTGAGTGTTCCTGGAGCTTCCTCGGTTTAGTTTTTTCCCCTTTCTCTGTTGGTCTGTTTTCTACCTATCCTTATTTATTCTATCCCACCTCACCTGGAGTGAAAATATTCTGAGACTGTGCACATATTGTTTCTTGTCATGATTACTAATTTCAGCACTGATTCCTGCCTTTCAGGATAGTGTTGCTTGGTGATTTGGTTTACATCATGTCATCTATCTTTACTAATTAGCATTCCTTTTGGTAATTGTAGATTCAACTCAGGGGTGAATAACTTATTCTGAGCCACATCCCCAGCCCTTTTGATTTATTTATATTTTGAGACAGGGTCTTGGCTAAGTTGCTGAGGCTGGCTTGGAACTTGGGATCCTCCTGCCTCAGCCTCCTGAGCCACTGGGATTACAGGAGTGCACTACTAATTGGTGTTCTAATGTAAGGAAAAGCAGCTTGATCCCCTTCATTTACCTTCTCATCATATGGATCAATATAAACTCATGGGTATTTGTTTCCTGCCATGGTTTACAGTCCATTGCTACCGTGAGTTTAAATTGTTTCAGAGTTGCTCATAAGAAGCCACAAGAAGACTCAGAGTACCCTTTATCTCTTCTCTCTCCAATCATTTTGCAAAACCTTCCTGACTTTTCCTTGGCATCACAAGATGTTCCAGACTCATTTTCTAATTTCCCTGGCCCAGCCCAGGAATCACCACTTCTCCAAGAAGCCAGAGTTCTCTTCATTAGAGACTCTAATTCGAAATAGGTATCTGAGCAGTAGGTGTGCTCATTGCTACTAAGATGTCTTTGCTTATAGACCCTCTCTATAGACAAGCTGGGAAAAAACATGTATGTATACTCATATTTTTAAATTTATGTATTTGCACATACAATAAACTCCTTAAACTTCTAGTATCTCCAGTTCCAATCTGACATCACAGGAATTCTTTCCCAACTTTTTTTTTTACTAGTACTGGGGATTGAACCCACCGAACTTTACCCCCCAGCCCTTTTAATTWTTTGAGACAGGGTCTCACTAAGTTGTTAAGGCTAGCTTCAAACTTGTGATCCTCCTGCCTCAGACTCCCCAGTCACTGGGATTACAAGTGTGTACCACCATGCCTGGTTCAAACATTTCTTATTTGCAATAAGAAATTCAATTCTCCATAACATATGCTTTCATCCATATTGTATCCCTAACTTTTTTGCTCAATCTTGGTATACACTTAAGGCAGTTTTAGAATTACCAATTCATAACACCTTACTGGAGTATAATTATTTGTGTATAGTTAATTTTATTTTGTATTTAGGCTTATATCATATAGTGGCTACACCATTTTCCAGAGTTACATGTTGGCTTTCTTCTCTACAGTGTGGTAATTAATATTCTGTATTTGTAATTAGATTCATGAATTACTTTGAATTTCATTTTGAGTTCCTGCACATCAAGGCTGATTTTAATTTCATTTGGGGAATGTGAAACATGGTTATAGTTTAGTGTCAATCTCCCCTTATCCCAACCACGCCATTCCCAATGCTTTCCACCATATCCATCCCTCTGTTKCTAGCTGACTTCTGGATTATTCTGTTTCTTTTGCACAGACGAGTAAATATGTGTTTATTTGCTTAAACTGCCTTATTATAAACTGTAAATGCTTTTGAACTTGGCTTTTCTCACTTAAACAATATATCCTGGAAATTAAGACATCAATTCATAGAGATCTTCTTCCTCAAGCTTCCGCCCCCCTTGCTCCCTGCACCTGACCCGTACTGGGGATTGAATTCAGGGGCACTTGTGACCATTGAACCACTGCCCCAGCCCCTTTTTATAAAATTTTAGAGACAGGGTCTCACCGAGTTGCTTAGCACCTAAGTTGCTGAGGCTGGCTTTGAACTCACAATCCTCCTGCTTCAGCCTTCCAAGCCACTGGGATTACAGGCATGCACCATCATGCCCAACATCCTCAAACTTTTTTTTCCCCCTGCTCTGCACAATTCTATTGTGTGGGGGTACCTTGTTCATCCAATCACTCTCCTATGTGTAGACATTTGGGCAATTTTCAAATCGATATTTTACAATTACAACTAATGTTGCCAAGAGTGTCCTTGTTCATGTGAGCTTTCTGTGTTGTGTCATCAGGGTAGAGCTCTAGAAGTAGGATTGCTGGGTCAGCAGCCAGTATACATGTAATTTTATTAAATACTGCCAAATTCCCTTTCAGAAGGGTAGTTCCAATTTGCACTTCCACCAACACAAGGGTGCCTCACCAACAGAATGTAGCAATGTCACTTTTACATCCTGTCTCACAGGTGAGGAATGACATCTCAGTTCAAATTTGCATTTTTTCTTATGTTTGAATTTCTAAAAAACAATTATATTGGGTGTATCTAACATTTAGAACATAATGCTATGGGATACATGTAGAGTAAAAAGATTAGTATACCGAAGAAAATTTACATCCATGAGCTCATGTTTTAGGTTTTTTTGGTGAATTTTTAAAATACATTTTAGGGATATTTTCTCTTTTGTGTATTGTCTGCGCATTTTTTYCCATTTTTATATCATATTTTTGATCATTTGTCCTTCAATATCTAAGAGCAAACCTCATGCTTTTGTAAAACAAATGGACTCAGGGCTAGGGATGTAGCTCAGGGACAATGCACATTTAGTATACTCAAGACCCTTGGTTTGCTCCTCAGCACTCTAAGAATAAACAAATAAACCTCATTAGTACTCAAACATACACTGGCACTTTAAAGTTTCCTATTTGATTTGAATCAATGGCATATGAGAAGATCTACTATAGGTTGGGCTCTATTTTAATTTTTTTGGTAGGGGACACAGGGGATTGAACTCTGGGCACTCAACCAGTGAGCCACATCCCCAGCCCTATTTTGTTTTTATTTAGAGACAGGGTCTCACTGAGTTTTATATAGAGACAGTGCCTCGCTGTTGCTGAGGCTTTGAATTAGAGATTCTCCTGCCTCAAAACCAAGTTCTAAGAAACACAGGCAGTCACTTTATCAGTGTAGCCAATTCTTTGTTGTGAAATAGGGATGGATATATATATATATATATATATATATATATATATTTGTATAGTTGAATTCCACTGTCAACCTCAGAAGGAAATTAAGACAGTTTCATTATTAGGGAATAACTATTTACTGAGTTCCAAAGCCAGACATAAATCATTTTTTTTCTGAGTTATCAGACACATTTTGATACCATTTATCCTCTTGCCCTTTGATCATTAGCAAATAGGAAACGTTTTCCTGTTAACAGGCTATTTTATTTGTGGTACTGGGGATTGAACCTAGGGCCTCAAGTATGCTAGGCAARCACTCTACCATTAAGCTACATTTCTAGCCCCTTTTATTTTTTATTTTAAGATAAATTTCTAAATTGCTCAGACTGGTCCTGAACTCATGATCCTCCTGCCTCAGCCTGCTGAATAGCTGGAATTACAAGCATGCATTAACAGCCTATTTTAGAATATTCTTAAAACCAAACTAAGTATGAAAGATCCAGTTCAGTTCCCGGGTAYTGCTTAAATTATTTATCAAATTTTATGACATGTTCAAAAAATGGCTCTCAATTCAGCTTAAATTTAGAAGACAAAGGATAACAATGTCTTTACGAAGACTATAATTTTGAAATGTTACATAGTATGACATTAAAAGTTATATAATTTTTCTGTGACTGATTTTCTAGCTACATGCTCACAGATGCTATAAATAGATCACTGATCAATTAAAGAATCAATTATAGTATGAAAAATTCAATCACAGACAACAATATTACATTACTTGTGGCTGGGATAATGAAATCAGGAAGGAATGAAAATAATGACAGTAACATTGCTTTGTTAATTAACAAAGGATTCATAACACATATCCTCAGTGGTAGATGCGCTCTGTAGAGAAGGCAGTAATGAGCTACATAGAAGCAGTTCACCAGTTGTCCCCACTGTCCCAGACYAGGGCACATATGGTTGCTGTGACAGGAGTTGTATTTGAGGGGCTCCATCTTTTGTTAAGGCATTAAAACACATGTGCTGTTTTGTTGTTGCTTGTTTTAACAATTAATTTCTCTTATTACACTTGATTTAGAAAAGAGGGAGAGAGTAAAAACAAAACAAAAAAAATAGCATTAAACTCCTGGAAAAGTTAACATGAGTTTTAAAATTTCCAAAGAATCATTGTTTTCTTGATATAAAGCAGAACATGGCCTCTTCTTAGCCTTTTCTATATATCACTAAAGAGTGATCAGTGAGATCAGTGACTTTGTTATGACCACGTTGAGGGAAAAACAATTTCATAACAAAAATACTCATGAAACTAGATTTCATCTCACCCTCCTCTCTGCCCTCCAAGAAGTGTGATAAAACAAAACTATGACAGTGTTGGTGATTTCCCACAAGAGCAATGTCAAAGCTTTGACAGTGTTGCTGATCTTCAGGAAAGACCTGCAGAAAGTGGAAGTCAGTGAGTGAATTGGAAATGGTCGTGACTTTCACACTTACAACTTCTTTGTGCCTTCTTACAGGCATAAATGTTCTTTCTTGCTAATTGAATAAAGTACTAGTTTACATAATCAACAAAGATTTCAACAGAGGGAGAGTATTATATTTCAGTAAAATTTTAAAATACGGTGTTAAACATTCTGACCTTTTTCAAAAACATGGTTAAATACATGTACAAATTGTAAATGGACCAAAAAAATACACTAAAAAAAGATGTGGTCATAATAAAAATAAAGGAACACTTTTATACATAGGATTTTATTTTGCACTGCTGTAACAATTTCATTATAGACCAAGGGATAAAAAGAAAAAAAGGATAAAACTACCACAGAGTAAATTACTAAAGCTTTTCTACTTTTAACAGGATTTTCCATCTGGTAGATTTATTGTCATATCCCCTTCAAAACAGACAAGATGCTTACCATATTTTAAAGATTACAGGTTGCCACTGAAAGAAAAATTTTACACAGTCACTGTACATCAAGGTTGAAAAACTGTCCTGCRTGAAAAATATACTTAGAAATCATGTGAATAAAAGAAAAAGAAAACATTATTGTGTTTAAGGAAAGATTAAAGTTCTCATAATGTGCSATCTAAATGTGGATACTCATTCTTCTTGGAGTCATTAGATGTAGGGATTTCGTGCTTCTGCCCTTTCCACTCATTATATTGTGTTTTTATCCAACAGTATTCATTAAGGCAAACAAATCCTTTTCTGAAGAGGTCTTAAGGAAATTGTGGACAAATAGCAAACTTTTGGCATTAAAACAGATTAACACATACATAGCCTTTAGTAATATACATTAAGCATATTTTTCTTGGACTAGTGACAAGAAAAGATGAACATGCTTGTTAACAATGTCAAAAAGTTTAAAATTCAGTGTCCAAGCAATTCCTAACAATGCTTCTGTAGCTTTAAGCTCTAAACAGTATAGAATTTATGCAAATGCATTAAAGAATTCAAGCTTGGCAAATTACACCCAAGCAAGTTATTAAACTATATATACAGAAAGTAAATGATAAATACAGAATTAAAAGAGTCCTTCTGTTTTTCCTTACAGTCTTGAAAATTGACAAACTTTCTGAGGACAGTTCTATAATATTAAACATTAGGTAACCACAGGTGTTGGGAAACCTAACTACACAAACCAATTTAAAATACTCAAGATGACTTTGTAGTGTTTAATACAATTCAGTTTGTAGTTAAGGGCACAAGACAACATTTAACAAAAATAATCACATCAATTGACCTAGAAATCAAATGCAAATAGATATGAATACAATCTCCAAAATCTGTCTTTTTAAGTGAACATGAACCATTTATTCAAAGTTATACAAGAATTTGAAGGATTAAAGTCTTCTGTGACATAAAGCCATTTCAAATAGTTTCATGTCTCAGCTGAGCAGGAGGAGAGAGGGTGAAAAGAGTAAGTGAGTAGCCCCATTTGGGCAGCTAGACAGTAAAAACAGACTCAACAGCAGCCTCCCCCAGCCTGCTGTCCTCCCTGATTGCCTGCGTGTGTTGCATTAGTAGCAGCATGCTGAGGGCCAATTTTAATGCCATTTGCCTGAAAAATAAAAGAGAACAGAATAATAAATGTATAAGAAGATCCAATCAGACAGTAGAGTTTAATTAGATTTTTTAAAAAACTCATTTAACTCTTAATGATACCATTTACCAAACAACTTTGAAAAAGCAGATTTTAGCAACAATCAAAAAAGTATCTCTCAGGAGATGTTCCATTTTTTTTAAAAGATAGCACTGGGAAAATATTTCTGAAAATACTAGGTACTAGGTTAACAGAAATCAGATAATGCTGCTTTTCAGAGAATTCTCATAATGGAGAAATTGTTTAAAATAATTATTGCAAGGAATCTTTAAAGAACAAAAATATCCAAAGCCCCTGCTGTTCTAACACGACGTAAAATCTTTTCTCTAGACAGCATTTCTGTTCCATGTTGAATCAGCTGTACAGGCTAAGGGCATATGAGTGTTCTGTGTCATCAATAATTTCTATGATCCCCAAAGACATGGCAGGTTGCCAAGAACCCACACACAGAGTAGTTCTTTCATTCATCAAACTCACACTTATGTCTTAACCCTCACTCCCTCAAGTGGATTTTACCTAAAAATACAACACTTTGAGAAAAGTAATACAGTAGCTTCAGAAATTAAGCTCTTAAGGAAACTTTACGTCACAGTAAATCTCAGATTTATAGTGCTTGGCAGTTGTTCTGCAACAGTAGTAGCCTTGGGGTTTCTGGCACTAGCTCAGTATTGACAGCAGCTGATGTGGTTTCTTTTCGCTCTTTTGACTCCTCTTTAATAAAAAGCATGCCCTATGGCTCATTGGTTTTGCCCCCTCTGGGCTGGTAGCAACTTCTTGAGGAATCAAGGAGTCAGACTTGGCATTAGGCCAAATAAATAGCACGGCCTGTTGGCTTCTGACAGCACATTACAATCAAAGCTGCATAAGGCACAGTAAAGCAGTCAGCTACTATATGAAATCAGACAGAAACAATGAACGTGCCCTTTTAAATAGAGGCCCAATTACTGTTCAATTTATAGGGCATTAGTCTGTGAATGGTGTCACCTTTAAATTAACTCAAGAAGTACTGCCATACAGGTCTAGAAGATAAGATTTAGAAACTCTATTATTCCAAATAAAAAGAAATGAGAAAGCAAGTACTTTTTGGAAACCTCAGGCAAATTGCTGTTGCATTTAGCAGAGACTACTGAGGCAAATAATAGAGTGTATCATCCATGTACAGACCAAGAGACCCATATGCAATAGCTTCCTAACAATGCTTTTCTAGTTGCAAATGGGGGAAGAACTGGCCTTTTCCTTTTGGAAGCTAGAAGTCTTTACATAGGCACAAATATTTACATAAACAAATAACATGCCCTATTCACATGAATACTTAAAAATAAGTAAGAAAAAGCAGAGTGTGGATCTAAGTCAAAATGATAATTAGTGAACATTCTGAATTACATTTTTCACCAAAAGCTTTACATTTCATCCTAATCACATTGATCAAAATGGGCTCAAAATTTAAAAATAATTAAAAAAAAAAACCCTGGTAATTGCCACTTATATATATCAATTTAGTCTTCTGAAAACGTACTCTGCTATACTGTAATTTCCAAATTGAAAATAATTTTCTTCTTTTATAACAGAAAAGAGAGACAGCATCTTGCATTAGGAACATAGTACATGCATTCACACACCAGAATATTATTCCCCAAAGCAGATGACACCATATGGACATGTGGATAAAAGTGGATTTTCTTTGCTCTTTGGGGGATTTATATTATTTTGCATTGCTTGCAATAAGTGGATAGGGCCACTTACCTTAATCCATTTACATAGATAAAGTGATGCTCTACTAAACATAAACATTTAAGTATTGTACTATATATATATCAGGTATTCAGTTAGGGTTATCATTTTAGGAATTAAAACAAATATAAAACCATGAATCAAAATACTAAGTAAAAGTAAAAAAATTCTAAATTAATATTAACCAGTGATATTTATACACATGTACCTCGTTATTAATGTCAAAGACGCCTTCTTGGATTTTTTCATAAATTTCTTTTGCTGTATTAATAAATGCCTGAAATATAAAGCAATTGTGTCATATTATTAAAATCACAAAAGTAAAATAACATTATATAAAAGCTCTAGACAATATCACAGAGTTAGATTTATGAAAATTAACTGATGTAATCCATCCTATTAACAGAATAAAGGACACAAAAATAATCACATGATCATCTYAATAGATGCAGAAAAAGCATTTGAAAAAAACCAACAACCCTTCATGATGAAAAATTCAACAAATTAGGAATAGAAAGGAACTTCCTCCATCCAATAAACAGCACCCAAGAAAAACCACAGCTAATATACTAAATGGTGAAGATTGAAAGCTGGCCTCCTAAAATCAAGAGCAAAGCAAGGGTGTAGGAAAATTTGCATCCATCAATGAATAAAAAAAAAATGCAGGCTACTGATATAATGGAACATTACTGGCCATAAAAGGGAACGAAGTACTGACTCATGTTACAAGGTGGATGAATCTTGAAAACATACTACATGAAAGAAGGCAGATACAAAATGCCACATACAATACAACTCTATTTATGTGAAACTTCCAAAATAGGCAAATCTACACAGTCTGAAAGTAGAGTATTGGTTACTAGGAGCTAGGAAGTGGGGAGTGACTGGTAATGAGTATGTGGTTTGTTTTTTTTTTTTTTTTTTTTTTTTGGGGGTGATGAAAATGTTCTAGAATTAGATTGTGGTAATGATAGCACAATTTTGGGAGTAAACTAAAACCCACACTTTCAAAGTGTTAATTTTATGGCGTACAAATTATTTCTCAAAAGAAAAAATCATGACCACAAGTAGTGGTGAGAATATCATAATTTGCAAAGAGTGCACGTGAGAACAACGTATGTCAATTATGCAGATAACCTGCATGGTCCTCCATGTTGAAACTAGCTTACTTCTGGAGGACACTGTTCCACACAGGGCCCTTGTGGCCATATATTACTTACTATATAGTTTTAAGAGGAAAAGGATCAGGATACTTATGATAAAGAGACATAAGGCAGTTGAAATCCTATACCATGTTGAATAAATGTACTTAGTGTACTAAGCTGAAAATTAGTTAAAATACTGCAGACCAAATGAAGTCTACAATATTAAAATTAATCCATAAGCATTCCATATTTATGTAAAAATTAAGGTATTTTATCCGAATATTACCAATGTTACAAAAGATGTATATAAACTCTGACAGATTCTAAAGTATAAGATTTGAGAGAGGACAAATAAGAGTACTAATCAACATTATAAATAAGGTCTTCTTCAATTAGCATTACATGAACATTCATAAAGAAAGTCATTCTCTTGTACCACTGATATGAACCTAATTCAAATTTTAAAAAGTAAACAAAGTTCATGGAGGGGAACAAATCCTACATTTCATCTTTTCTACACTGGAAACATTTGACTGCTGAACTTGGGATCAGAGCTTTTGTTTCCTAATTAACAGGACTGATATGTTTTCACCTTTAAAGGCCTTACAGCTCCCCAGAGTAATCAATCTACTGCAGCTCAATTACTGCACCAAGCACACACCAGTCAGTAAAGGAGACTCGAAAGACTGTGGCAGGAGCACAGAGATATGAATATGCATAAACTCTATGTGGCAGATCRAATCATCACAGAGGGTCATGAGAATTTGCAGGAAAATAATGAGAAGAATTAATCACTGCAGATTCACAAGGCACTTAGGACGTGGTACAATTTCCATGTGTGTGCTGCAGTTAAAGTGAAGGAGAAATTGGCTTTCAGCCAACTATGAATTGATTCACATTCTTCAAAACTGAAGTTCTCTCTATAAATAAGGAAAAATTTAACTTTATATTCAATAACACGTCAATTACTGTGCTGCTGTTAGAAACTGGGCTAACTAAACACTKAAGTCAACAGATACATAAATTCACAGAGTTGGGATTCCTTAGGGAGTATCCACATATGTACATTTCACTGTATCACTAGGCAGAACTACAAGGTCCCCTAAAATGAGTTATAATGTCAAATAAACAAGCAATTTAATATTACAAAAGTCATTATGAGGTGTGCCAATTTATGTAAATAAACTGCCTTTTGCCAATCTGTTGATGAATCACTTAAAATACTGGCTTAAGAAAGCTATGCTAGGGGCTAGGGTTGTGGCTCAATKGTGGAGGGCTCACCTAGCGTGTGCAGGGTTCTGGGTTCAATTCTCAACACCACATAAAAATAAAATAAAGGTATTGTGTCCAACTACAACTAAAACAAAATATTTTTAAAAACATTAAAAAAAGAAATCTATGCTATGTAAAATATTCTAAATCATTAATAACTTTATTGCCTAAATAGCATTTATTACTTTATTAAACACTTTTAAAAGCAAAATTGTACCACACAGGCTTAAGATGTATTAATTTCTTTTAACTGAATTATAACAAATGGTTATTTCTTTTCACAACAATATCTGTTATCAATGGAATAGTGTTTGGATGCTACATTTATTCTGTCATACAACTTTTTGATTACAATTAAAGACACTAATATATTTCCTACCTCTCTAGGTATATCACAGAGAATATCATACAAATAGATTGTTTTATATACTTCATGACAAGAAGTTAACATTTAATGTATATTATTAACTGACTAATGACTAATTTTAATGAGTCCTTAGTATGTGAAACTCAACATGACAAATGTAGATATTAGTACATTTGTTTTTAAAATGTGTGGTGGTGGACTGAAATTGCTGAGTTTCCAAATACAATGAGCAGTAACCAAATACTATTAAGGCTTATTACAGATAAAACAAAGCTTTTAAGATGACTGCCTTGGTTATCATAGATAAAATCTATCCATTTAAGTGTAAAACATTTCAATAAAGGTGYGAAATATACATCTATATAATGAAAAAACATCTATCTGGTATTAAAAATGATCATTTTACTCTATTCAGTATCAATCTCCATATTTTTCCAGGTATAGATGTTTGTAATCCATTCAGATCACTGTATTCTTTATGGACATAATATAATACATTTTAAGTATTGCTTGGTAAAAAATTTTAGGGCACTACTTAACATTCTTCACAGAATTAATTTAATTTGAATGGCTGGGCTGTTCCCTTAGAATTACTTTATCTATAGATATTAAACATAATGTATCTTTGAATCTCTAGCATAATTCCCAAAATGAAATGGGTACTTAAAAGACCTTTATTAAACTCAATTATCTTTAGCAAGGACATATCTACAGGGCACAGTGGGTTTCCATAAAATGTTGGTTTCTTTTTCTTATGTACACATCTCTTGGGGGGGCAACTTTTTAAAGATGTTACTAAGGAGAAAGCAATAGGCAAAACTTATAGGTTTTAGTATAGCAAAAAAAAAAAAAAAAAAAAAAAAAAAAAATCTGCCCAGAAACTGATGTTAAATGACTTCATTATTAGCACCATGAAACAAGCAATGTCTAGGCAGCACCACAATTATGAAGTATAAACAGATTTTCTTGCAGCCAACTAAAGTTAGTGATTATCTTGCTTCCCAGGCACTGAGTGTGCCATTCCAGGATCTGAAGCCTGCCTCTCTATTTTACTACCAGGTCTTCCCCTTCACCACACTTTGATTAATTGCCATGGTCAGTCCTTTACCATCATTTTCTTCATTAGTCATTAATTCTCTTGCCTTCCACCTCAGACACCATTTGACTCTGGGACATAGTTATCTGAATGGTACTGATAAACTTAAGAAAAATTTAAGGAAAATTTTCAGGGATTTTAATAGTACAAACCTAAATAAATATAACCACAAAAACCTCTATATGTGCTATAATCCAAATACACAATCAACTAATATACATACTAATGTATGTCTTAGGTCTCAATGACATTTACTGAAGGGCACCTATTAAGTTGTTACCCCATGTTCAGAACTTTATTAGGCATTAAGGAACCTACAGAAGGAAAAGGAGAATGTAGTTATGTTACTATTACAGTTAGTTGGGAGAATCTAGGCACAGGGGCTCAACTCTCAGTTAAAGACAGAGGAAAAAGCCAGGTGCAGTGGCACATGTCTGTAATCTCAGCAATTTAAGAGGGTGAGGCAGAAGGATAGCAAGTTTGAGGCCAGCCTCAGGAACTTAGTGAGACCCTTTCCCAAAATAAAAAATAAAGGGACGGGGGCTGTTGCTCAGTGGTTAAACACTCCTGGATTCAATACCCAGTACCAGAAACAATAACAACAACAACAAAAGGGAAAAGAAACTTTCTGCATTAACTGATAGAGGAACAATGTAGGACAGGGCTGAGGCAGATCTCACTGTACACCACACATGGCTTGTTGAGTGGGTCTTCAGTACTGACTAGAGGGAACAGAGGCAAGGGAAACACAACACTGTTTTTATTAAGGTTTAGCCAGTTTTTAAGGAAATACATAGAAAATAAATTTTAAGTTCCCTTATTTCCTTATGCAGCATGCTGCCACCTGGTGGCAAGATAAAAATTATGATATCTAAGTATTTTGGACAATTAAAAAATTTTTTTTAGTTGCTGATGGATCTTTATTTAATTTATTCATTTATATGCAGTGCTGAGAATTGAACACAGTGCCTCACACATGCTAGGCAAGCGCTTTACCACTGGGCCACAACCCTAGCCCTACCTTGGACAATTTTATTTAAATATCTGAACATACACTTGAGAGCAAGGTACCTTCTAAGTTACTTTTTAGTTTTTAAATTAGGAAACACGATGCAACTGAAATGCTGTATAAAATCAGTTAAAGGTGTCCATTTACCTAAATTAATACTAAACAATATTTTAAAAAGTATTTATTAGGGGTTAGTCACTATACTAAGTGTTTTACATAGCTTTTCATTATTTTGCAAAAAAATTCACATTAGGTATGCAAATACTGAAAATTAATTTTTCTTTCAAGAAAACCTGTGGTCATAAAATAAAATTATGCCTGTAAAACCAGCAGAATGGCTAAGGGCAGGGCTCTAAAACCAGGTTCTCTAGATTCAACTCCAGTGTTA